GAAAAAATATAAAATATAAAATGTCTTATATTTTTTTAAGGTGACTAAATAATGCACCAGATATTCTACATATATATATAAGATCACTAATGTCTTTTTAGGTATATATATATGTACACATATATTTATATGAATTCTGTGAGATGCGCGAGATATATAACAATATATATATCTCTCTATATATATATATATATATATATATATATATATATATATATAAAATCTCCTAGAATTAGTAATAGAAAAATGATTAAAAATAGGATTTAGACTTAAATGAGATTAGAGAAAAATTAGCTATATGTAAAAAAAGAAAAGAAAAGAAACTTACAAAGTTTCTGCCAGTGTTATCAAGAATACCAGCAGCAGCAGAAGCATAATTAACACCGTAACGCATTTGTTCACCGGAAGCTTCAGAAAAAGCAGGAAGAAGGGGTAGTCCAAGCAATTCAGCTGTAAGTGTTCAATTAATTATTAATCAAAATTAGTTTATTAATTAAAGAAAAAAAGAAAAAAATATGAGTACGTACCAATGGTGTCAACCATGGTGTAGCCATTGGAGAATCTACCGGTAGGGCCAGCTTTGAAGTCAATGCCATAAGGGAAATAGTTAGCCTTAGCAAAAGAAGGCAAATCATTGTTATTACCATTATCTATCAATGAATCTCCAAATACAAACATTGCAGGAACCAATGCTCTTCTTCCACCACTTACTCCCACCTCACCATCTTCTTGACCACTTGCACTCATAACCAACAAAAAACCCACAAAAATCCAACCATAAAACCCCATCTTCTTATTACCACCCATTTTCTTTATGCAGTGTGTGTAGTTAAAGTGTGTGAAAGTGTGTGTGAGTGTGTGAAAAGATGAGGAGGGGTTTTAAGGAGGGTGGCAGAAAGGTTTAATAGGAGGAGGGAGAAGTGGTGGTGGTGGTGGTTGGGGTGGAGTAAATATGGTCACCTGTATAGTGTTTCTTCTACTAATTAATACATGCATACATGTAGTAATAATAATTTCTGACTAGTGGTGGTTGTTTTCTTTTTAATTCCCCCCCACTCACCATTTTTTTACTGTCTTTTTTCTTTTATCTATTTTTAATTTCTCTTTGTTTGTGTACTCTACTCATTTGGCTAAAAATGAAATTAATCAAATTACCCTCATTTTTTGAGCCATTCAACATGATTTGTTTTTTTTCCAAATTAGTGATGTACAGTACATCAGGAAGACTAAACCTCATAATATACATGTCATTTTCTTTCAATTATGTGTGATTATTATGGTTGATAAGTGAATTAAATTAAAGTACTCGATTGAGGCTGGTTCACACGTGCCCCTATAGTTTGAGGAGACTTTTACTAGTGATAAATATATTATTTATTACTAGGTTAAGAGATTAGAGAGCAATTTACTCTACAGATGAGTGCTAAGCTGTTTTCACTACCCAGTTCATTGTGTAATAAATAATACTGGGTGTTAAATAATACTGGGTGTAATAACTCAGTAACAACTCAGCTCTATCGAGTCATGGCTAATTAATTACAATAAGAAACACATGTTTACACACACACACACACACATATATGTATATATATATATATATATATATATATAATTGAGACCAAATCCATAGCCATAGGTATGAGATCGAGATGAGTCTGATTCGTTGAGGGGAACGAAATAAATGGTTAATAGTCAACTCGTGTAAGCCTTGCCATTTCTCTTGCACGCATACTTGAGTTGACTTGTAATAATGTCAACGCGTCTTCATAATGAATGAAGATAGAGGAGGAGCACTGTAATTAAATTAGACAAAAGAGAAGAGAGAGAGAGAGAGAGAGAGAGAGAGAGAGAGAGAGAGAGAGAGAGAGAGAGAGAGAGAGAGAGAGAGAGAGAGAGCGATTGGCTGCAATGGGCGGTTCTCCGAGCAGCAATAAATTCAATACAACAATGAACAAACATCACTCTTACCCAGAAAATAAAGAGCCACACAGTATGGCTTACCACAGTGGAATGAATTTGACCTAACCTAAAATCAAATTCCACTTTATTAAATATTCGCATGGTGTATGTGGGACAGTTCCCAAACATTTATCATGTACGAGCCCCTAAATTTAAATAATATTTTTCCAAAAAAAGAAATTTAAAATAATGAACTGTTGAATATAAAGACTGAAAAGGGTGGTGGGGTTCAAGAAATAAATTTACTCAAAAAGATCTGTTAAATCTACAAGAACAATAACTTAATACAGAATAAATAATCCTAGTTATAACAAACCATCGTATGTTTAGTTTCAAGGCTTCCACAGTTTCATTGCGCTGTCTTCGCCGTAAGTTGCGACAAGATTTATATGAGGATGGTGAGTTATACCAATCACCTCTTTCTCATGTACCTGCGCCAGTAAAAAAATATTACTTTAGTATGGAGAAAATAATTAAAAAAAAAAAAAAGGTCACCTATTAGCTTAGGTTTACATACATTATATTATATGTAAGATGGGAACTGAGGAAGAACGAGCGGATAAAGCTTAGCTTACCTTCATTAGATGCTCTAGCTTGCCAGATTGATGACTAAAGCAGTACAAATTTCTGTATAAAATTGAATATGTTAGTGAATATAACCTACCAACGACGGGGAGTAAATACAACAAATACCATGTGAAAAGAACACAAAACGAGAGCACTACGATAGCAAATACGCAGCTATAAATAAGAGATTTTGGTGACAAAATTAAACAAATGCTATTGAGGTATACTGAATGTAGAAGAAGCACTTGATTTGCAGCATACCTGTCTTCACCAACACAATATATCCATTCCCCTTTGGGAGATACACAAGCTGCCATAAAATCTCCACCTTCTCTTTTACCGGACGAACAACTTTTCACAACCTTAACAAAAACAATAATCACATCCAGATTAAAGCAAAGCAAAATCGGTCTTCTAAGAAAAAGAAAGCAAAAACATATTTCTCGACTTTGTTCCGCCCATTATTTCATTTTCGTTCGCTTGAGGTAGTTGGATAATGAATGTGTGAGTTAAGTTGCGGGGGGTAGGGGTGGGGGTAGAGTAGTGATAAGAAGCAGATAATCGTACCTGGCCTTGGAGTGTCATGATGTATATTGATGATGTCTTGTTGCACACAATTATGTGATCGGGATTTTTGGGGGAAAGATGAATAGAGTTCACAGATGCATCACCTCCCTGTAGCATAAGACGAAGTCATCCACTCAAAGTTAAATATATAATAATAAAAACAAAAAAAATGTTTTAGAAAAACTTGTTTAGCACAAATCAGTGTAACTCAAAATTCTAATTAATAAGAGATGATAGAAGGATAAGTACCCTTAGAGGAGGTGGTGGCTTAAATGTCTGCAGACAATCTGTGGTCTTCACATCCCAAACCTGAATGTCATTATTAATATGTATTACAAACGTAAAGGTCAAAAGACCGGCAATTTTGGCCCTCAATCAATAACAATAAAATGGGATAGATTACTTTCACCGTACAAAAATAAAAATAAAAAATAAACTTACTTTCACCGTGCAATCACTGGACGCAGTTATGATACGAGAACCATCAGCAGTAAAGATGGCATCATTAACATAAGAAGAGTGGCCGCGGAACTCCTTCAACATCTTCCCTGATTTCAAGCCATGGATCCTGTACAAATATAAGCCGAAGAGTGCATAAAACAGAGACAAAAGTCAAAGACATGAGAGCAAGATGCAGCAAATGCAATAGCAAAATTCTCGAGTACGTAGTTGTGAGTTCAACAAACCTTGCAGTGCTGTCAAACGATGTACTTAACAACTGGGTCCCATCTCGAGAAAAGATGACACTAGTGACACCCTCAGAATGCGCCCGTTCCAGCCGACGCAGGCACTGTCCAGTTCTTATGCGCCAAACCTATAGATACAGGAAATTATTACATCCATTTTCTTTAACAAATTATAAGTCAACCCACACATTGCATAGGCGATCATAAAAGAATAGACAGCTAGAACAGAGTAGCATTTGAAATAAGCCAATCACTAGAATATTCCCCATAGTTTCTTCCTTCTATTTTCTTGTGTCGGACAAGTTGAGTTCTTCTTTTTGCCCATATAAAGTGTCCAGGAAACAAGTCAAGCAGAAGAAACAAGTAAAGAGTTCTCATATGAGAAGCAGAAGTTCGGTGTTACCTTTATTTTCCCATCTTGTGATCCAGATGCAAGCATCTCAGAGTCTCTACTAAAATCGACACAGAGGACAGGGTCGTCATGCATCATAAATGTTTCCTGCCAAAGTTATCACCAGTTAGTGCACGGTTGTACAATTATCCACCTAAGCAAATTTGAAAACAATTAAGAAGATAGAAAAATTAGTATGATCAGCAACTCACATCAGCCTGATATTGGAGATCCTTCTTCAGCTTTCCACTTATATGATCCCAAACCTAAAATGCACTAAAATGAGGAAACGATAATTGAACTCCAAAAAGTATCACAATAAGAGAGATTCTAATAAATAACCTCAATGAATCCATCAACTGAGCAGGAAACAAGGAATTGCCCGTCCGGAGAGAACCGAGCACACTCTGGATGACTGTTCTTCCCAAACTGCAACCAATAACCAGTGTGAAACAAGGACAGAACTGAAGTCCATACAGAAAAATCACCGAAAAATGTTACAGGCAAGAGGAACGAAAAGCAGATGTTCAGACGTATATATGAAAGTGTTTCTCCTAGAACAAGACATGGTAGCAAGTAAATGATGATTCAATGAAGCAGAAAATGACAAAATTCTTCCCAAAGAAGACATGACCGTTATTTTTTTCAAATGCAAAAAAATACTAAACACATACATGAAACTAGATTTAATGGAACTTCACATCTGAGGTTCAAAGTAAAATATGAATAGAGTATCAAAATTCAAGTTAGATGTACTACTTACCTTTATAGTGTGCCCAAGAGTTGTTGGGTACATATCTTCTACATCTTGCTTCATAGCAGCTGTTCCTCGGAACAGGTCGAATTGTGTTCCAGGTGGAAGCAAACCTGACCACCAAAGTGAGATTAGACAAATACACAAAGCCACCTCTAACAGGAAGAAGAATTTGTCCAGAATATAAATCAAACTTAGAAAATCTTATGGATAATCAGTTTGTAAGCATGTTATGATCAGATCTTTTAGCGATCCAAAGTGATTTGTTCTTATGGCGCTTTGCCTGTATTTAAATTCAGGTGGCATGTCTTAAATGAGCTGAACCAAAAAGTCATCCCAAAACAACAGTATGCAGCAACTAACAAAGTTGTTAAACCCCTCTAACTAATATATTCTCTTGTTATGTCTTCAAACAAAGTGCTGGATTCACAAGTTTAACAAAAAATACGTTAAATCAAAGTTTACTTTTCATCACTTTGTTCAGTAAGAAACACCTGCAGAGCAATTGTAGTTTTTAACGTACGTAAACAGCAGAGTTAAAATGAGATAACCACAGCTCAAAATCATGTGGCCCTTCTTTAAATAATACCTTGATGTTGCTGCCACTTCAGAGCCTGACCAATCAAAGCCATTAATCGTGAAGGTGGAACCACTGAAACTTCTGCTGCAACAGCTGTAATATAGTTGAACAATGCATGTGAGAGCATATACCACACAAAGAGAACCCCTTACATACTGATCTAGCTGTCTAATGACAGTGAAATTATCCGCACTATCAAATCTAAGTCCATCACACCATGCCGAATCTTGGTTGAGCCTCATGTGAAGTTATTATTGCAAGCTTCAAGAAATTAGCTGCAGAGACTTTCGGAGCAACTAAAAAGACCGATTATTGTCTTTTACCTTCCAAGTACATTCAGAGGAACCTTATCTGTCTAGTAAAAAGTTTAAGGTATCCTAAATCTAGATATATATTAAAGGCGAAATACTTTTTTTTTGGACTCAACTACTCTATATATGACACCAGCAAACAAATATGGCATAAAACCATCTTCCTAAAAATTTGGCGAAACATATACAAGCAACTATGATCCGATGGGTGATCTAACAAAATACAAATATTAAGATAAAACCTTGAGCAATTTGGCCACGCCTTTTCTCCTTTGACGAGTCTTGATACACCTGTGCATAAGATGTAAAGGTCAGTACATAATTAAAAAGTAATTTATTTAAGTCTGAATAAGTATACAGTTCAGAAATTGTGCGCAATGGTGAAGGAGTTAATCTAGTATACATGTAATTAGGTTTGATAGCATATTATAAAACAAGCTTAGGCAAAGTGGAGAGAGCCTCTAGAATGAAGAAGACCACCCATACCTCATTTGGGTCAAAGTAAGTCCGAACCAGTAGATGCTCGAGTCGTAAGTATCGCTCTGGTTCCTCTTGTTTCATGACACCCATCACCTGAGTTTGTCTCAATATAGCTCGTGCTGTATCTATCTCTCGAAGTTCAATCATTTCTAGAACAATCTGACATAAACAAATAAATAGAGAATAATGACCCAACTAATGAAGAACAAAATTTAGTTAAAGATCCAAAGAAGACAGAGATTCCTCGAAACGATATCAACTAAACTAGGTTCACCACATGGTTTAAATTTTATGTTCTTCTCGTGTTCCCTTTATTTTTGCTTGCTAATATAGAGTTTATACATTGAATGTGAAGATGATAGATAACATGGCAATCACAGAGTTTATGAATTGGATGCGAAGATGGTAACTTTGTACACGAGTTGATGGATATACAAAAAAATGAGAAGATGATAACATGGCAATCACAGAGTTCACACACATAAGCTCACCTGTTCATATAGGTCTTCTAATTTCTTCCGAGGAAGTTTAAGTTGTGCAACTTGAGGTAAGATTGCATCCCACCTTCCACTATTAATATCAGCAATAAATGTTTCATGGCTGTCCACTGTATTAAGAGAAACCTGGCACTCATTCTGCAGTGTTTGAAAAGTTTGATGCAGAGAGTTTTCTTTACAAAACTGAAGTACAATCTTGATTACACTGCAAATAAATCCATGAAAAAAAATATTATAATCACGACTAAGTGGCATAACAAGATAAATCTCAAATGTTCTGCAATGCTAGTCAATATGAGAAGAATCAATATACATCAACAACTGGAAAGAGGACAAAAGATAGACTATAAAGTCTAATGTTCAAGACATTGAGTTTAAGGCAACATAGCTCAAGTGTGAATTTATATACCAATAAACACCATAAGATAAAGTAAATGAGCAATTAGATCCTTATCCCATGAAAACTAAAAAACGAAAGAACCATGCCGTTAACCAATGAACATCATAACACTTGGAACATCCTAAAAAGTAGAAAAACAAGCCGACAAAGCAAATTTTCAGAGATTACTAAGACGCAAATCCAATTCCGAAATTTGAGTTTACCTCCAAGTATAATCCTAGCTCAGAGAACAGACACAACAAGTAATAAACGCTAACTCGTTTCAATAACTAAAATACAAATTCACAGGAATGTAGCATAAGGAGGCGAAGCTTACTCTCTAGCTTCAATTTCCAGTGTCGAAGACATGGTGTAGTTTTCGAGAAAATAGTAATCTGTTAAACCCTAGTGTTCAAAACCCTGCCAGATTTTACCCAATTCGTTCCTCTGTGTGAGAGGGAAAGAGAGTGGGAGTGAAAGAAATTTTATAAATTATATGAGCCCTAATTCCCCCAATTTCCTGCTGTTATTTGGCTGCTAGTCGCACTCGGTAGTTAATCCGAGTCGTTTCTTTTGCAATTAACCTTTTGCAAAAAAATCTTATTAAATTCCTCCAAAAAATAATTAATCATAAATATAGTACAAGGCTTGTATGTGTTGGAATTTGGATCCAAAATTAATTAATTAGGAATTCAGTCTATTATTGAGACGGCTCAATACGTTCGGCCCAAACAGTATAAAGTTCATTTCGTGCCTTGAGAGTTTTTTCGATTCTTTGATTTTGATCATTGACTCTCGTTTATTTGGTCGGCTTATTCAAGGTATTTCAATTACACCCCATTCTCGACCCTAAACTGTGATCTTATTTCCTTGGCATTTTCCGACGATACACCCGTTTGACAATGACGATGGATATACTTCTACTCTCTAATTCGGAAACAATCTTACATTTTCATCTATATAGTAAACCATTCAGAGAGACTGAGAAATAGACCCATACATTTTTGAATCTCCTTCAAATTATATATCCCTTCTATTCGAGAGTGAGATTCACTTCTAAGTGTGGGAGACAAGAGAGTGGGTTCAAATTTGTAGTTAGGGTTAAAGGTGTTTCCTGTGCTGGGTTGTTGGTGCCACCCCCGATGGATATCGATTTTGCATTAATTAATTGTTTTTTATTTTGTTTTTATTGGGCCATTTGTTACATTCATTTGGGCTCGGCCCATTTACAAAGTACAAGAGACATTTCCATGGGTAAATTGTTGGGCCAACAAAACGTAATTAACTGATACTTTATTTTGGGCCATCAATTTTTTATCCATCAAGCTCGTATATAATAATAATAATAATAATAATAATAATAATAATAATAATAATAATAATAATAATAATAATAATAATAATAATAATAATAATAATAATAATAATAATAATAATAATAATAATAATAATAATAATAATAATAATAATAATAATAATAATAATAATAATAATAATAATAATAATAATAATAATAATTGGACAAAATGATTGAATAACTCAAACATAAAATAAGAAATAAATTACAAATGATTTCAAATTAAAGCCCCAAAATGGCAAACATAACAGCACACAAAACCAGAAAATAACATGACGAATATAATAATTATACAAGGACAAGGCACACTAGGTAGGTAGGTAGGTAGTTTGACACATGACTTAATTAGCTAATTAAATCGATCGAGCTTTAATTATTTTAATTTGTTACAAGAAAACAAAGCCCATGCATGCCAATACTAATAACATGAACAAGAAGAGCATATGCTAAAACTGAAATATTTCATTTGGTATTGTTAGTGGGTACTGATGATTAATGTTGTTAGTGGTTATAAGTGGGTACTGGTCAAAATTAGTCAACATTGGTCCCAATTCAACCATCCCATATTGCGCATCGATCTGCATGCATATCAAAATTCATGTTCTTTTTTAATACGTTTCAATATACCAAAATTAAATTAAAAAAATTATATTATTATACAAATCATACCTTCTCTTGAAGATGTTTGTTTGCTTCCTGGAGTATCTCTTCCTATATTAATAATAATATCATGATAAATTAAAATGCAGAAATTCAATTTAATTTTGCATGGCTTATTAACTGAACTAATTAACTCTAAGCTAACCTTATACTTGAGTAGCTGGATTTCTTGAGCCATGATATCCATCTACATATGTGTAATAATGGTTAGTTTTATAAATTCAGGGTATACATGCATGTGTGTGTATATTATATATGCATGCAATTGTACGTACGTACCTTTGCGGAACGAACATGATATATCCATATCTCGAGATATTTCTCAAGAACATTCAGTTCGACCGAAGTCATTGGATCAGCTGATCCCCCTCCAGCTATGTACCTTTAATATAATTATTACAAGTTTCGGTTTTCAATTCATCGTAAATTTATATAAGAATTAACTCATGTATATATATATATGTCGTGATGATTAATTATTAAATATAAAGTTTACCTCAATCCTTTCTGCAGTATCTCAATCTCATGCTTAAGCATGCTAATCTCTTCTTTTGCTTCCTAACAGCAGAAAATTACCATTCAAAACCAGTAAATAATATTACGACATAACTAATTATTTAATTCAAAGACTATAATGTGATGGATGAAATAAGTACGATCTATATATTTGATTGTATGTTATGTGTACGGTGTTCAAGGATCGAGCGACCGTGGAATATAATTAAGGGTTCGATCGACAGCTAATTTACAATTATTAATTGCACTTTCAATTAGAGAATCCGGATCAATGTGCGTGCACTAGGAAAAAGGCACCAGATTCTGTCGTCCCTTTTGTCTAATCAACAGTACTAATTAATTAAATTCAAACATACTTTGAAAGCGTGATTAGAGATAATTTAAATTAATTAGAGGTTGTCAAAATTAATTGGCATACATACCGTGTTAATTTGCTTGCCTTTGGGGTGTTGAGCTGCTGCAGGGATTTCACGGTTATACTTCATGTACTTCTCAATCAAACTTGGCATGCTTCTTCAATATATATATATATTAATTAAAAAACACAAATTAATTAATCAGTACATGCAGTAGTTAAAGAGACTAATTTCCTCAGTACGTACGTAATTAATTAGTACTGTTACGTAGAGCGAGGTTTGCATGCATGGTTACGTACACAATCATTAACTATCGATATCATACAAAGAAACTCGTGACGTTCATGCTTATCGATCTGCAGCATGCCGAGAAACGAGCTTATATGCCAATAGAGCATAACTAGCACGTGCGTGCATGAGAGAGAGAGAGAGAGAGAGAGAGAGAGAGAGAGAGAGAGAGAGAGAGAGAGAGAGAGAGAGAGAGAGAGAGAGATCTAAAGAGAGAGAGAGAGATCTAGAGAGAGAGAGAAGTAGCTAGGGTACTACGTACGTACCCTTTGGTGGCGAGTTCATAGAGCTTGCCGTGGGCGGAGAAAATGAAAAGACCGATTTCAGCATCGCAAAGCACAGAGAGCTCCTTAGCCTTCTTTAGAAGACCTGCGCGCCTCTTGCAGAACGTCACCTGCCTGTGCACCGGATTCTCTATCCTCCTCATCTGAATCTTTCCACGCGCCATTTATTACTTTATATATATTTCCAAATATCGACGATCGAACCACAAATTAATAATTAACTCAAAGAAACAAATTTTTTCTTTTTCTTTTCGAGAAATAAAATTTTTGAAGCTGTAATTAATTGTCTGCAAACAGACAATCAACCTCCCACTAGTTTGAACTAGCTTCGAGGCAGCTGTCTGATCACTACTCTTTCGAACTCCTCTCCTACACTTAACTCTCACTAAAACAACACACTTACTTCATCTTCTACACAACAATCTTATATATATATACACCTTCTGATTCTCATTATTCCACATGTTATTAAATATTATAATATATAGCTTGTAACACAATGACACTTGGCGATCGTAGGCGTTGGACATTTGTTGCCTAAAGACAACACAAAACTTTCGCAAAGTCGGAAAAAGACTATTATACCCTCCTAAAGTACTCGTGCCGCTGCATGATTGGTTGGTCTAGGAAAGTCTTACATGCAGCTGTCCACACTATACTACGTACACTTTTTATAATTATATTATTTGTGCTTAATTCAGAAACCTTAATTTTGAACAAAAATATTATATAATTAAAATGAAGTGGCCATCCACAATGCAGAAATAAAGTTGTATGTGTGAATGTCTAGTCAGCAGTGCAATACTGCTTTTCATGTGCAGCCAAACAAAGTGTAATTGTGTTGGTGAACCAATGAGCAATGAGCTGCCCATGTTATTGGGGGCTACATACTTTATTTTTTTTTTTTTTTTTTTTTTTAATTTCAATTTCCTTACCTACTTTAAATTAATTTAATTTCCCCCCAGCCTCTCCAACTTCCTATGACCAATTGTTCTGCTTTCTGTCTCTTGCATGTACATGTACAGTACTAGGATTAATTGCATGACGACACTTTTCTATTTTATATTGCATTTAATATTTTTCTAATTACCATTTGGTTAATTAATAATTAGGGGTCTTAAGATATAGGTCCCTAGTGACAAAATTAATTAGAATTAAACGACAAGTTCAACTAAACATTTGCTTCACATCATTTTATTAAATTCATTCCGAAAATGCCCTTTCACTCATTTATATTTTTTCAGTTTACACTCTGCATTTTTTATGTAATTATAAACATTTTTTTTTCTTATTTATAACATTTTTCTGAAAATTACGATTTTTTTTCTTGTTTTTGTTAAATAATTCAGCATATTTCAAAAATACGGTATACTATAGTGTACTATGTTATACTATGGTGTACTATCGTTTTTACACTATTATTAAAAAAATAAAAATTCTACAATATTATTAAAAATTACAAAACAAAACTTGTTTTTTCGTTTTTGTTAATATTTCGTTTTTTGTTTTAATATTTTATTCAGCAGATTTCGTTTTCATAAGGAGCAGATTTCGTTTTTCGTTTTAATATTTTATTTGTTGTAATACTATAGTAGATTATGGTATACTACGGTGCACTATGGTCTACTACGGTATACTGCCAAACCCTAGCCGCCAACAACACACAACCCTCGCCAACCCTAGCTGTCAATGTCAAACCCTAGCAGCCAACATCTGCAGCCGTCGCAACCGTAACCTGCCAACTTTGGGAAAACCTAGATTTATGATTTTGAACCCAAAGCAAGCAAAATCTCTTGAAGATCAAGATCAAATCTCCACCATAACCACATCCCCGCCGCCGCCCACAACACCTCGCCGCCATCTCAACCACCACAACTCGCCACCACCGCCTCCTCCACCACAGCCCCCGCCGCCGCCCACAACACCTCGCCCCCATCTCAACCACCACAGCCCGTCGCCACCGCCTCCTCCACCCCAGCCCCCACCGCCGCCCACAACACCTCGCCGCCATCTCAACCACCACTGTCCGCCGCCGCCGCCTCCTCCACCTCCACCACAACCCCCGCAGTCGCC